AATCACTGAACTCAAACAAAAGCTACGTAAAGTGTATGGACCTTATAGACGACAGTTAGAGAATATGCCATTGATTTGTATTGAACTACAAAATCCTTGGAACAAAGTTAACATCAATGGATTATATATTCTCATTGGAAGTTTACTACCAAAAGAACTTAGACAATCAATAATGAAATGCATCACTATTGAGGAAGGATCTGTTGTCATCAAGTTACAAATTATTGACATTACAGCTGATAGTCTAATAGAATATACTGGAGGAAAGTTACAGTTTATGTGTCTGATTGGTATATTTAGTTTATTCATTAATGATGATCCTGTCCTTCAAGAAGATGAGAATATGAACTTCACCTTTGAACTAGCTCTCCTTGAGGCAGTCACAGCTGATAATGAAGCAGTAGAGTTTCTTCTTCAACTAAAAACTTTTAATATTGATTATACCAATGAAGAAGGCAAGACAGCACTAATGTTAGCTTGTGGAAGAGGACATGAGGACATTGTACACAGTTTACTGTCTGCTGGAGCTAATGTTAACATTCAGGATAATGAAGGATGGACTGCACTAATGATAGCAAGTAAATATAATCACATTTCAATCATTCACATGTTACTACAAGCTACTGCTAATCCTCACCTTAAGACATCAATTGGATCAAATTCTTTGATGATTGCTAGTTTTCATGGTAATTATGAAGCTGTTGAACTTTTGCTAAAGGAACAAGTTGATCTTAATGTTCAAGACAGATATAGTTTAAATGCTTTTATGTTGGCTTGTCAAAATGGTCACACTAAAATAGCCAAACTGTTGCTGAAGGAACAAGTTGATCTTAACTATGTTCATGGAGTGAATGCTTTTATGTTAGCTTGTAAAAATGGGCACATTCAAATAATTGAACTGCTGCTGAAGGAACAACTTGATTTCAATGTTCAGCAAAAAAATGGTTGGAATGCTTTTATGTTGGCTTGTGAAAATGGCCACACTCAAATAGTTGAACTGTTGCTGAAGGAACAAGTTGATCCTAATGTTCAAAATAAATATGGAGTGAATGCTTTTATGCTGGCTTGTGAAGATGGCCACACTCAAATAGTTGAACTGTTGCTGAAGGAACAAGTTAACCATAATGTTCAAAATAGCAATGGGGTGAATGCGTTTATGATAGCATGTCATAGTGGTCACACTCAAATAGTTGAACTGTTGCTGAAGGAACAAGTTGATCTTAATGTTCAGAATAATGATGGAATGAATGCTTTTATGATAGCATGTCATAATGGTCACACTCAAATAGTTGAACTGTTGCTGAAGGAACAAATTGATCCTAATGTTCAAAATAAATATGGAGTGAATGCTTTTATGCTGGCTTGTGAAGATGGCCACACTCAAATAGTTGAACTGTTGCTGAAGGAACAAGTTGACCCTAATGTTCAAAATAGTGATGGAATGAATGCTTTTATGTTGGCTTGTCAAAATGGTCACATTCAAATAGTTGAACTGTTGCTGAAGGAACAAGTTAATCCTATTGTTAAAATTAATGACCAATTGCATTTTGCTTTATTTTTGGCTTCTCGTAATGGTCATACTCAAATGGTTAATTTGTTACTTCAAATAAAAGATCAAGAAAATGCTTTATTTTTGGCCTGTCAAAGTGGTCAAACTAAAATAGTGGAACTGTTGCTGAAGAATCAAGTGGGTTTAAATGTTCAAGGCAGAAGTGGTTATTATCTTATTATGATAGCATGTAAAAATGGTCACACTCAAATAGTTGAATTATTGCTGAAAAAACAAGTTAATCCTAATGTTCAAAATGAAGATGGTTGGAATGCTTTTATGTTGGCTTGTGAAGGTGGTCACATTCAAATAGTTGAACTGTTGCTGGAGGAACAAGTTAATCCTAATGTTCAAAATAATGATGGAATGAATGCTTTTATGATAGCGTGTCATAATGGTCACACTCAAATAGTTGAACTGTTGCTGAAGAAACAAGTTGATCCGAATGTTCAGAATAATGATGGAGTGAATGCTTTTATGATAGCATGTCATAATGGTCACACTCAAATAGTTGAACTGTTGCTGAAGGAACAAGTTGATCCTAATGTTCAAAATAAAATTGGAGTGAATGCTTTTATGCTGGCTTGTGAAGATGGCCACACTCAAATAGTTGAACTGTTGCTGAAGGAACAAGTTGATCCTAATGTTCAAAATAAATATGGAGTGATGCTTTTATGCTGGCTTGTGAAGATGGCCACACTCAAATAG